AACCACTGACTTTTTAATTAGCAACTCAACACCACGCCGCACCACTAGGACGTCTACCCAGGTCAAAATCCCATTCGTGAGAGATGTGGTTGCTATGCGATGTTTCTCCTGCCCCCATTTCCTTTGGCCATGATGACACTATTGGAAACTGGTTGATCTCATGTCATAAAGCCCTACGATGGTGCAAATGCAGAGCATAGAAACTTGTTCTTCAGCAGCTCTTTTGGAAATAAAAGGCTGACTCAGAGAAAATGTCTGTTACAAACATTTACATTCAATCAAACTCTCACCCATTAGCCAGATTAAAAAATGCTGAACTGGTCATATACTCCATTTGCACCAGTGGACAGGTTGTTTCAAGGTGAGTGGCCAAATGAGTTGAATTTGAATGACAGAAACAATTACTCTGGTTGAAAACTTGAGCACAAGGGAAATGTTCACTGTGCCACACATCTTGAATAATAAACCTAAGAGCAAAGATGACATTTATTCATATATTTCATGAAAAGCTTGGGAGAAATGTATTAGTCTCACGAACACTTATTTGGCTCAAGCATGAAATGTAAAATGTTTTGTCACTGAGTTTAGTCCCCACATTTCACCTAACTATGCCTCAAACATTTCCACATCAAGGGGGGAAAACAAACCACAATCAAATGGTGTCCTTGTGATAAGAAGCTTCCCTGCAATCCCAAAAGCACGTGGGTCGGATCCACCAGCTGCTCCACAGGAGAAGAATGGGCAATCTCCTCCCATTCAATTCACTGTCTTTGAAAACACACTGGAGGGTCAGTAGGGGCCAAATCCAACTTGATGGCACATAACAACAACAGTGAGGGTCACATGTGTCCTGGCTGCTGATATTTAAGAACATATGTAGGATCTTTGAAATAATCCTCAAATGAACACTCAAAATTATTTGAAGAGACAATACAATATGGCTACAGAAAGAGAACATAATCATTGGAAGTGAAAGTAGTCTTCTTAAGAAATAGATTATTGTATTTATGGGTTTTCAGTCAATCACAGACTCACCTCGAGTTTGATAAAAACCTCCCTGTAACCACACTATATGGCATGCCGTGGCAGACCCCAGGCTGTTCATGCTCTAGGTCTTGTCTTATCTACAGGTAAGGCACAATTTTAGTGAATTTTAGCCACTCCCTTGCAAATACACTGTTGTTCATTTTATATTTACACCTTGACAATGTTGCTGTTAAGTGCCATAGAGTTGCAGGTGACTCATAGTGACCCTATGAATGAAAGTCCTCAACACTTGTGTGACTTTCATCCTTTCTCCAGGTTCATAGGGTTTCTGGAGGCAAGCTAATACAGAAAAAAAAATGTAAATGTTTTCCTGATTCAAGTCTATCTTATATGATTTTCACAATGTATAATTGTAATTCTTTTAATGAATTTTTCATTTTGCTGTATTCCTCTTCCCTTTGGCTTTTTATATTTTTATTGAGGATTGGGCAACACAACTGAAAGGCCTTGGAGGAAACTACTCTAGAGGAACCTCATCCTCTACACTGGGAAAGATAAGGATGAAAGGGTATATACTCGAGGGAAATTAACCATCTCAGGAAAAAAAGAGGGGAGGACATACAGTCATACTGGATAAAATGACAAGCATGTTCTGTGTTGTAAGCATTTCATCCTCATAAATTCCCTATAAAGCTTCATATCACTTTATCAGATATAGAGACCCAAGTCTTTTACCAAGTAACATCAACAGGCCACTCTATATATTGAATCCGAGCACTCACATACCTGACCCTCTAGCAGGTTTTCAGAGACACTAAATCACACAGGAGGGGATTACCCATTGTTCTCTCATGGAGCACCGGGTGAATTCAAACTGCCTACCTTCGGGTTGGCAGCACAATTCTCTATCCACTAGGCCATCAGAGCTCCCTTGTCAAATAACATAGCCAACTGGAAATTTAAATTGGGTTTTAAACTCACTGAGTACAAAATATGTAAGATTGACACTTTACTGTCTTTGCTTCTCAATACTAATCTAAAATATTCAAGGACGAAGAAAAGTTTTCAATATACTCTATAATATCTAACAGCTGCTCCATAGTAGAAAATATGAGAAATTTTCTTCCATGAGACTTGTTGCCTCTGAAAACACATGGGAGGGTCAGCTATGAGGTGGTTCTGACTCGACAATACATAACATGTGATTGTAAAATAATAGTGTGTGTGTGTATGTATATATATACATACATATATATATAATATTCTATTTATGTCTGGATTGATCTATGTACTTTTATAACATTAAATAATTTATGAAAAGAAAATTTATATCTCACAATTATCTACATTTATTTATTTATTTATTCATTCATTTATTCATTTATTTATTTATTCATTCATTCATTCATTCATTCGTTTATTTATTTGATGCTGTTTGGTGTTGTGTTGTTTACCTTCAAGTTGGAGCCAACTTATAGCTGACCTTCCAGTGGATTTTTCAGAGGCAATTAATCACACAAGAGGAGATTGCCCATTCTCCCACGGAGCAGCTAGTGAATTTGAACTGCATGCCTTGGGGCTTGTAGTGCTGTTCTTACCACTAGACCACAAGAACTACACACACACACACACACACACACACATACACACGTTGTTGTATATGTATGCATGGAACACCTTCCAGTAAATTCTCTATGAGTGATTACTTGCGTCCTAGTATGCTAGATCTATAATGCTACAGTATATAAAATCATTGTGGTGCATTGTAATGTCTTGTGATACAAGATTGACTCTTTCATAGAAGGTTTCTCTTTTCCTCTGTTTATTCTTCTCTTTTCATCTACTAGAAACTTTGACATGAAGTCAATAATTGATACATTATTTTTAGACACTTAACACTTTATAATATTAATGTTATCTATCTAGACCCATATATGCAAAGTTTAGTAGTTTTCACTAGATAGTTCCTAATTGTTACTTATTAAGCTTATATACTGGCATATCATTTCATATTTATTCATTGACTCATTTGGGTTGTCCTTGTTTTGTGAAAAGGTGTATTTCTAACCCATACTGATAAAAAAAGTATAAGAGGAAGAGGAGGAAGAAGGAAGTAGACTCTATTAGCCAGAGTATAAACTATATTATTGCCTTAATCATTTGATTCATTCATTAGCCTCTATATATGAAGTCAGTGTTTCCTTTGAGTCTATATCAGCTAAGTTCACATTACCTTCAATCAAATAAATGCTTCCTTGCATGTATTATGTATAAAATTCAGTTCTAGCTTTTTAACATGGAGTGAAAATTGAAATTCAATCTTAATATAAAATTCTTCAATATTTTATCATTTTCCCTCCTAGCCTGTCTGGACTACATCTTATTCTACTTGAAATAATCAACACTTAAAATTATCAAGTATTTTTACAAACATTTAATACTTGTTCTCATTAAAACACTACATATTAATATTTTGTCATACATATTAAAATTCATTTTATTAAAACTATTTTTATTAAAATTCATTTTTATAAAAATTAATATAAGTAGCATATTTGGAAGCTCTGGTGGCCTAATGCTAAGAGGCCATTCCGTAACCCCAAAGGTATGCAGTTCAAATCTGCCAGTTGCTGTACAGGGGTAATCACCTCCTGTGTGATTAACTGCCTCTGAAAACCCCCTGGAGGGTCAGCTATAAGTTGATGCTGACTCTGCGGGACTCAATGACAACATAAGCAGATTTGGGGAAATCCAACTAACGTATAAGTGTATACCTCAAATTGTGGTTGTATGAATATAGACTAGGTAACTATTTCTTGGTTCAGAATAACATTGGCTTCATTAGTATTCTATGCAAGAGGGAAGAAAGAGCATTGGTTAATATAGGAAACAAACTAAGGTAAGACTAGTCAAGAGGCACTCTACTAAGATCCATTTGGAACAGACCACCAGAATATATGTTTAGTCCTAAAGTTTTCCATTACTTCTGTTGTGTTTTCAGTTATCAAATATTCTGTATCTTTTTATGCCTTCTTGCATCAGAAATATGATAAATCACAATGCTAGACTAAAGTAATGCCAGTCTTTCCTGTATCACTGTGTTTCACACTTGGTTGGATTGTGTTTCTTATGTGAATGTGAGCTCTGTCTTAAATAGAGCACAAACCCATTTATATAGTTTTATAATTTTTATACAATCATTCATACACACTATGTTTCATTCATGTATGAAAAATGTTAAAGTGGTACTTGAAAAGACAGGGTAATAATAGGCATAAATCAATGGTACTAATTATGTCAAATATAATGCATATGAATGAGTGTACAAAACACGATATATAGTTGTTGTTGTTGTTGTTGTTGTTGTTGTTGTTTGGCAAGTCCAATATTTCATTTTATCAGTTTATTTGCTTGTTCACAATTCTTTTGTCTTCTAGCTTTGCTCTCTGAACTACATTACTATAAAGAAACTTTATTAAGGCATTCTAGGTTACTATGTTATTTATTTCTGCATTATCTGGGTATAGTCCTTATTGGTGAATTTATTAATGGGAAAAACAAATCAAGCTGTACATTTCAGATTTGCAAATTTCTCTACCTGTGGATTATACTGCAGTATGAATCTCTACCAAAAATTTATTGATCTACTTTTAAAAATTAAACTTCATAATAACCATTTAGTCTAATTATACATAAGCCCAAGAATTAGATTCTGTCAACATGGATTAGAAATGTCAGAATGAAATTCTTCTTTAATGCCTCTTTCACTAGGAACTTGGACATGCCTTTCTCACTAGGAGCTTCTACAGGCAAATATCCATGCTGTTCAGGAAGATTTCCAAGGAAAAATGTACCTTAACTTCTGTTGGTGGTTCATCCCAACCCTCTGTGATTGGAAACAAGAAGCCAAACAGTTCACAGCAAAATCAGATTTTAGATGACAGCTTTTGGTCAGGCAATTGAGCAACTCAAATAGTGGATATCCAAGCACTTTCCATTGTTCTTCGGGAGAAATGTTTGCATGGGCCTCTGTCCTCAACCAGTCGGGCCCCACGGAGTTCGTATTCCGCGTGTTCACTCCTGTCCCGGAGTTCCAAGCCCTCCTCTTCCTTCTGTTCCTTCTCCTCTACTTGATGATCCTTTGTGGAAACATGGCCATCATCTGGGTGGTGTGCACGCACAGCTCGCTCCGCACCCCCATGTACTTCTTCCTGTCCAACCTGTCCTTCCTTGAGATCTGCTACACCTCGGTGGTGGTGCCCCTGATGCTCTCCAACATTTTTGGGGCCCAGAAGCCCATCCCCCTGGCTGGCTGTGGGGCCCAAATGTTCTTTTTTGTCACCCTGGGCAGCACGGATTGCTTCCTCCTGGCAGTCATGGCTTATGACCGCTACGTGGCCATCTGCCACCCCCTGCACTACACCCTCATCATGACCCAGAAGCTGTGCGTCCAGATGGTGGTTGGGAGCCTGGGCCTGGCCCTCTTCCTCTCCTTGCAGCTCACCGCCCTCATCTTCACGCTGCCCTTCTGTGGGCGCCGCAGGGAGATCAACCACTTCCTGTGTGACGTCCCTCCAGTCCTGCGCCTGGCCTGTGCGGACATCCACGTGCACCAGGCCGTCCTCTACGTGGTGGGCATCCTGGTGCTGACCGTGCCCTTCGTCCTCATCTGTGTCTCCTACGTGTTCATCACGCTGGCCATCCTGCGCATCCGCTCTGCAGAGGGTCGCAAACGCGCCTTCTCCACCTGCTCCTCGCACCTCACCGTGGTCTTGCTGCAGTACGGCTGCTGCAGCCTGGTCTACCTGCGTCCCCGCTCCAGCACCTCGGAGGACGAGGATCGCCAAATCGCGCTGGTCTACACCTTCGTCACCCCCCTGCTCAATCCCTTGATTTACACTCTTCGAAACAAGGATGTCAAAGGCGCTCTGAAGAATGCCATTAGCCTCAAAGCAACTTCTGACGCCCATTGAGGCTTTAGGGAGCCAGGGGCGGGTGCCAGTCATTGTCATAAAAGTCAACTCTTTAAAAGAGATATAGGATTAGGTATTACTGTCATGACAGGAGTCCAGAACGAAGGCTGCATGGTGGAGTGGACTTAGGGGAAGGGACTGTATAACAATGAAAGAATTTTTCTTTTACATTTCAAAGAGAAGAATGAACTGGAAGGGAGGGGTGGGCAGGGAGGAAAAAAATGCAACAATGAATGTATGGAAATCCAAAATCTCTGTAAATTTTCATTAATAAATAAAAATAATTAAAAAATAAAAAATCTTTAAAAAATGAACTCTACAGTAAATATGGAATTGCATTGTTGTTATTGTGTACTATCGAGTCAGAAGCAACTCATCGCTGACCCGCTGGTGGGTTTGCAGAGACAGTTTTCAGAGCAGACTGCCCATCCTTCTCACAGGAGCAGCTGGTGGCCTTGAACCTTCTCCCTTTGAGATTGCAGCACAGCTTCTTGCCACTAGGCCACCAGAGCTCCTTGGAGTTGCATTTTTTTCCCCTCTCTTTCACACTTGATCTTTCTGTTCTTCCATATTTGTTCCAATCAGCCCTCACTGGCCAGAAGTGCTTTAACTTAGATATGATCCTAATGTACTCATTATTAAAAGCCTTTGTGTCAAGCCCTGACCCATGGACGCTCCCTTCACATTGGAAGGAAGTGTCGCTTTGACCTGTTTCTTTCCTGTATCTGGTTTCAGATAAAGTCATTCGCTGTCGACCACAGGAATTCACAGAGTCTTCCTGATCTGATTTTCAGAAACAGACCCCTGGGCTTCTTCCTGTCACAGCCCGTTTTAGCCTGGAATCTCCACTGATACCTGTTCTGTATCACAGCAACACACAAGTCTCCACAGTGATGGCAGTCGGTGAGGTGATTCACCAGGAATCAAACCCAGGTCTCACACGTGGAAGGCACAAACTCTGCCAAGGAATGAACCACCAACGCCTTCTTTAAATCTACTTAGCCCCGAATGGGAAAAGTTCACAGTAACTGCTCTATCAGGAGACCTCTCAATGTGCTATAAACAAGAATTGATCCTTCTGCAAAAGGCAATGATATTCATTTACCCCATGGACGATATCCATTTAAGACGAGATATTCATAAAGATATATTCTACTCAAAGAAATCTATTTTATTACTGCTTTATATATTAAAGGTTATCAGAGACAATAAGATTGGCACAGGTTAGAGCAGGGTTTTAGGGCTGTTGTACATAGGGTCACAATGAGTAGCGGGCAACTAGACGGCACATAACAATAATATATTGCAAAAATATCACCTGCCAGTTCATTACAACACTGATATAACCTTTCTCCATGTCATTAGGCCAAATAGACCAAAAGACCTTGAAAATATAAATGTAATAATTTTTAGAAGATTTTTAAAAGATTATTCAATGCATCGACTTCCTCCATTGTACACCTACCACCTGGTCACCCCTTTATCCTCTGTCATTTTGCCATTCCAAGAAAAGACAGAAATTAGCCATGAGACAGAAATATGGCTCAGTACATATGATATACAATATGATCTGCAAACACTGTGTCAGAGAAGGAAAACTCAATATTTTCCATTCACAGAGGGTGGTAGGAAAAATGGTTAGATTGCTCCCAGCCAAAGGTGGGAAACATGGAGACCCAAAGAATAAGGCAAGTTCCCGGAGTTCAAACTCATTCAGTTTCATTGTATTTGCTGTGCTAGGAGCTCTGGTGGCTTGGTGGCAAAGACTTGTGCTCCCAATGCAAAGGCACACAGTTCGAATCCACCAGCTACTCTTCAAGAGAAAATTGGACAGCCCCTTCTAGTGTGATTTACTACCTCTACAAACCTACTGGAGGGCCAGCTACAGGGCAGTTCCAACTGGAGGGTATTTATCACATGGTTTATCTCTCATCATTTCCTGCACCTTCCTAGTGGCTGCTGTTTGTAAAATCTATCCAGCAGGTGACACTTGGGCTCCTGTCACTTAACATGGCCCTGAAGCACTATGGGTTGTTACTTCTTCAGTGACTCCAAATAAACTTCAAGTAGGATTAACTTTCCTCTCTGATATTCAAAGCCGACATGGTATCGCTTAAACACTGTAGAATAATGAGATGAAGAATCATCGAAGGACATTCTCACCAGAAATTTCTGTCCCAGAACAGCTGGGTCAGGTGAGGGTCCTGATCCTGCCCATAAAACTGATCTTAGTGAGTGGTTCCAGGAAATGGATTGCAAAAATGATCTCAGAAATTAGGATAACCTTTCTGGATGTCATTTGAAAATATTCCTCATATTTAATCTAATCTATAAACATGACCTCAGGAAATTAAAAGTGAATCAAGATAGAACCGAAAATATAAGATGGTTTATTACATTTATACAAAAAAAATTTCAATCTAATTGTCCTACATACCTATAGGAGACTGAAAATAAATTTAAAATGATATTTAATAATAAAGGGTGATATTTACAATAACAAATGGAGGTTACAGAAGCAAGTACAAACCTGGACTTACAGCAGATGTTACTGACTTTGTAACAACCCAAGCATATGCATATAATGAAGACTAGAAATACAGCAGAAATGTAAATTGCTGAAAGTGGTTTGTAGAAATATGGATGGGTGGATGGATGGATGGATGGATGGATGGATGGATGGATGCATGCATGCATGCATGGATGGATGGATGGATGGATGGATGCATGGATGGATGTTGTTGTTAGGTGCTGCCAAGTTAGCCCTATGAACAGATCTGAACCTGTACCATCCTGTGTCATTCTCACCATCTCTTACATACTCGAACCCATTTCTGCAGTCCTGTGTCAATGAACCTGGTTGAGTCTTCCTCTCCTTTGCCATTTTTTCACCTCTTGAGGCATTACATTGCTCTCCAAGGAATAACCTTTCCTAGCAACATGCTCAAAGTATGAGAGAGGAAGCTTTCCCATCTTTGCTTCCAAGGAGCACTCTGGGTTCACCTTCTCCAAGACATATCTGTTCCTTTGACAATTCACAGAATTGTGAATAGGTAGGGATTCTTTCTTTTTTTTTCTCTCTTTCTTTCTCTCTTTCTTTCTTTTTTTTTTTCTTTCTCTCTTTCTTCTTTCCTTCATTTAAGCATTCTTTTATTCTCAAGTAAGGGGTTTTTTTTATTACTCTTATAATCAGGAAAATTATTTCTACAAGAAATCTGATTTATCTGGTACATAAATGAACTTATTATTGCAGAAAGCACCCTCCACTTCACTTCACATTGCTTCTAGATATACTCATTCATTGCCATTGAATCTGAACCAATATAATAGTGGACACTCTACTGGTTTTCAGAGGTTATAAATTACATAGAAGGCGGTTGCCCATCTAGCTCTCACCTCACTGAGGAGAGATTAAAACCACCAGAAAGGTATTCTCATACGGTTAGCAGCACAATTTGGTAATGACTCTGCCACCAGGGCTCTGGGATCCTAGAATGTTGTTGTTAGGTGCCCTTAAGTGGAGTACACTCACAGTGAACCTATGAACAAGAGATCCGAACCCTGTCCTAGCCTGGGCCACCCTCATCATCTCTGGCACACTTGAGCCCATTGCAGCAGTCAGCCAATCCATCCGGTTGAGGATCTTCTATTCTTTCGCCAACCCTCCACCTTTCTAAGCAAGGTACAGACCCTCTTAATAGCATGCCCACAGGATGTAAGGTGAAGCTTTGTCATCTTTGCCTCAAATGATCACTCTGGCTCCACTCTCACCAAGGCATTCTTTTGGCCCATGGGATATTCAGTACTCTTCTCCAACACCACAACCAACTCAAAAGTATTAGTTCTCTGTCATCTGGCTTCATTGTCCAACATTCAGATACCTAGCAAGTGAATGAAAAGATCATAACTTAAATCAGACACTCCTTAATCTTCAAACTGGCATCATTGTCCTTCAGTAATTATGAGAGGTCAGTGAGCACAGACTTGCCCTATGTGATAGCCGCAAGAAATAACTGAGACAAACAGGTTGCGTGTAAGCACATCCAACAGAAAGGCCCATCAAAACATAAATAATCCTTTACATACACACACCGTGATAAGCATTGTGTAAAATGCTTTATAAAACATTGTAAAAACAGTTATAAACATAATCAAACATTTTAAAAACAATTTTAGGAAGGAAAGTTATACAATGGCATTCACATGCTCCTGTCTTTCTTAGGTGTGCCTGAGTACACACTCAAAACTTAGTCAAGAGAGTAACAGTTCAAAGATATCCGGGGTGACTTATAAGAAAGGTCTACCAATCAACTTTCAAAAGGTCACCGCCATTGAAAACTCAGTGGAGCTCAATTCTATTCCAGAATACATAATCACCATGAGTTGGAATCAACTATATAGCACCTGGTTTTCTGAGTTTTTTAGTTCTTTAGTTTCAGGAAGCTCTGGTGGTCTAGTGGGTAAGGAGTTGAAATGCTAACCTAAAGATCTGAACCCTCAAGGTGCTCTGTGGGATAAAGATGGGCAGTCTACTTCCATGCAATTTACAGCTGACATTTACCTACTGAAGGGTCAGCTATGAGTGAGTTCCAATTAGGCAGCAAAGAGAGAGATCTCTAATTTCACAAAGCATATTAAAAAAACCCATAAAAATCCAAAACGATGACTATTTAGAATTCAAGTTGCAGAAAGAAGATAGTGAATTGTTACTCTGTTTGGAAGAAGACATTGAATGTTTGATGGATCCTTTCTGTCTAAATTACTAAGCTACCTCAACCACCCTTCCTGTGAAAGATGAGTTTTCCTTCCTAGTAAAAAGTGGTGTAAAGTAAGAGTGAACTCTGGTGGTTTTAGTGGTAAAGAGTTGCACTGCACATGGTTCAAATCTACGAGCTGCCCCAAGGCAGAAAGATGAGCAATCACCTCCCAGGGAATTTACAGCCTCAGAAAACCCACTGGGGGGTCGGCTGGGAGTAGGCTTGACTTCATGCTACATAACA